GAGCTTACGGTTGGTTGAACCTTTTCCTTGAGCATTCATTCATTGTGGAGCTGGCTGAGGAGTCAAGTCGGCAGCCCTGCGCTAAGAGCTTGGCACCGCAACACTCAACCCTTAAAGAGTCCATTGTATTTAATCTCATAGCATGTAATTTATTATTCCTGTGTTTGCTTCCGTGGCTGTGGGCACCTCACACACTCTTGTTACCCACGTCACTGGATGTGTTTACTCTAACAGAAATAGTAGATGTTTCCACCACTCTCTTTAACTCTTGCCTCTTCCCTCTTCTGCCACTCAGCCTCATCAGCAAACAACCTCCTCATCCTCCAAACTGCACATTACAGAATTCTGTCAGTTCCCTTCACTGCAGAGAAGGCCAACCAAAACAGATCATGTTCTTCAAAGTATTTTCCTGTGTTTTTATCGAGCTGCAGACATGTTAACCATCAATTGCAGTAGGCTAAGGAGAGAGTAGACACCTTTGTCCGTTCTATAACAGGCCTCATTTATGCGTCTGAATTTGGCATGTAATTCTTTCAATGTCTGAGAAGAAAAATAGTGTACAGAGTCTTTTTTTTTAAATTGGGTTCTGCAAGTAGAACAGCTGACAGTTTTCGGAGCAGCATCTTTTGCTCTCAGTCAGGTTTCTCTTAGGACACCCATCCTGGATGCAAAAGAAAGAAAAATCTAAGGTGTGCAGAGAATACAAATTGCACCTTTCCAGGGTTTATCTAATGGACTTGCAACTGACACTAAAGGAAAGCTCAGAAGTTTCAAATCCCAGGCTCACTTTACCTAGAGAGAGCTTGAAAGCTTTACTTTTGTCTCAACCAAGGTAGAAAGTTGGGACCACAGGCACTGTAATCTGCATTTAATCTAGAGAGTATCCATTTCAGTTTCAGTTCTTTTAGACAGAGTTTCTGACACAAGGCATCAGCAAAGTCAACTGAGCCTTTTCCTGGGGCATGTTCCAGCTAAAATCCCCGGGGCAGTAGTCATTGGGGTCAGGCTCCCTTTCACTTTGACCTGCTGACAACTGAGATAGCATTTTGTTTAACAGAAGACTGAAGAACTTCCGTTTTTCAGTGATTTTACATAAGATGCTTTCTACTGCACTCATGTGTCCAAGGTTAAGAGGAATTCAAGCCTCTTGAGAATGAATGTTTTGCCTGTAACAGAGTATTAACACAGTGGGGGCCTGACCGTAGCTTCAACTTCCAGACATCCCAAGTATTGCTAGCTAGGTTGAGGATGCAAAAGCTGAACGGAATCTTTCCAGTCAACCATTAGTTATACAGAAGTGCTCCTTAATTGAAGAATGGCTGCTATAACACAGGGGGCCAGGAAAATGGAGCTGCATAGAGACCACAAGTACTTTTGGATTTTGAGAAGGGCACCACTGCATCTATCACAGAATCAACCAGGCTGCAAAAGACCTATCATGCAGTTAATTTAACTGAACCAAAGGAGGGCAACAGAGACTTCCATCCTTATTCTTATTAAAAGAAGGTGGTAGCTGCCAGTATGTTCATTTTATGAAGTACAGCTTATTTCTATGACAAACCAAATTTTTTTCCCCTCTATAACATCAGATCATTTCTCCCTACCATTACAGAACTTGAATTTGTAGTTCTCAATCTGTTGCCCTCCTTTTTTCTTGCTGTATTAGAAATACAAAGGGACTTCTGTGCTACTTGCCAGTTGCAAAAACAAGTTCCAGGACAATTTTCTCATTCCCTTTCTCTATCGCCGATTTGTTTAGGAAATGGCCAAGGTTTTTTTAGCGCTTACACAAAAAGGTCACTGCTGTATCTTCTCATATCAGATCTTAGTGTTTATTTGATGCCTGTTTTACAGACAGATGAGCAACATATCCATGCGTCTTCAGAGCAAGTCGAATTAATTCCGTATAATGCTCCCCATTCTCTGAGCTGATGAGAACAAGGAGAGGGACTATTGAGATATTGGCTATGATGCCCACAAAATCAAAAAAATAATCAAATTTGTCCAGTCAGTTGAGATAAAGCCCACAAATGTTGAGAGATATCTTCGATCGGAAGTTCTTTCCATGTGTAGAAAAGTAAAGACTACAGTTTTGATCACCACAGCAGCTTAAAGGTACCTTTGTGGTTTTGAAAAGCTTTTCTGATAGCCTCCTGTGGTGACAGTTTCATTTTTCTCCAGGCTGACTCTGCTGAGTAATGAAAGTGACTGTGACACTGTTTCTGAAGCTCATGTTAAGCAATCCTGTGAAGGAAGAATGAAGTCAGGGAAATGCCCAAAACACAGATTTGCTTGGCAGGATCAGTGCCTTTGCTGCTGGCACCAAGCAACAGGCTTAGTGTTTCTGGTCCTAGTCCTTATTTGGTGGAATATTTTGCCTGGTTCACTGCTCCATCAGTGACTGGTGCTGGTGGCATGGCTCTGGGCTATTTAAAAGGCCTTGGGGAAATTGCTGTGAAACAAGTGGCAACCAATTAGTATGATTCACATAATGGTGCCTGAGTTAACACTGACAATGAGAATCTGAAGCTGTTTGCAGCAAAGAAGTTCTTGAAGCACATCCAGAAAGTATTAACATGCTGCGTGCCAGGTGGTGAGAAGGTCACTGGGACAGAGATAATGAGCAACTGGGAAAAATTCACATGGGAACTTTTATCTGCTCTAATTCTACCACCATTCCAGCTTTGTTCTGAGAATTGCTTTGCTGTAAAAAGCTAATCAAGCTTTTCAAATACCTTTAATCACCAAAGTGTAGAAGAATATGCATTTATCATTGATTTAGCCTGCTTTCTTTGGGCCTCCCCAACCTAGCCATAATCTTCCTCCTTTAAACAACTCCTCTGTGAAAGCCTTCTTTAAATACTTTGTCGGTTGCACAGGCTCAGATAGTCATGTTAGTAGATTTCGCCTGTGAAAGACATGCTAGAAAGAAATGTAGAAAGATAAGAGATTAACTTGAATATTCATACTAGGTAGGGGCTTTTGCTTTATGAGCTCTGAGGACTCAGCTAAGCAGCCAGGTCAACACAGCAAGAGCATAGATGTAGTGTTCAAGAAGAGACCACTGTTTTTGACCATGCTTAAATAATAGTTTTGCAGTCCTGCCAAGGCATGGACAAAAATCACTCTCTGCTTTATCTATATTCTTGTTTCTCAGTGTTTTGTTACTGATGAGCTGAGTAGACGTACATCAGAGAGAATGGTGGGCCTCAGCGCTGCTGTTTACAGGGGAGTTCAAAATGGCAATCCTGCTTTTCCAAGCCAAAGCTTAATTTATACTGACCTCATTAATGATGCTGATGAAAGGCAAAGCCAGTGTTTCTCATACATTTGAAAGCTGATCCTCCATTTAGAGAAGAGGAAACTGATCTCATGCACCCCATTTCAACACTTAATGTCTTGGAAAAAGCATGGCCGCCTACCTTTTATGTGACATCTGAGCTTACCCTTTTTCCATCCACCAGTCAGCCCTGCATATAGCCTCCTGACTGAGCAAGGTCAAATGGAAGTCTGCTGTCTTGATGAAGCACAGAGATGATGGGAAAACATAAGTGTATGTCAATAGGGAAAGATATAACAAATGAGGGATAAAAAAAAGTTCTGATATATCCAAGGAAGAGGATAAATATGACAGATAAAAACACTAAACTGTACTCGACACTATCCCTTTAACAAAGGGAAGATAAATGTTTAAGACAGCTGCATATCCTTTTTGGTGGATTAGCACTATTTCAGTTTGTGTACTGCATCCAGGTATTTCAGCTTAAGTGCTACAAATTCAGGGCTCCGTGTATTTTTTCAAGTGCGCATGATTAGTTTATAACCATCTCTGCTGAATGCCTTCACTGAAAATCAGGCAGTCATGAAGCAGTTGTTTCCAACACATTTGGAAATATCACCAGAGCCAAAAAATTAAATGTTCATGGCCTTTTTGAGGGGTCCAAGAATGTTAATACAGACAGCCTGCCTACTTTCCATTGAATACCTTGGCCAGTTACTCAGAACTAGATGTGCCATTCAGACCTGCCAAGGAAGAGGAAAGGGAGCTGGTTCCATCTGTGATAGAAGGTGGTGCTTATTATTCTTAGTAACACATTAGTAACACATCACAGACCACAATCTTACATCAACTCAGTTGGCTTAAAACTTCTTAGCAGGGGTACTGCTGGTAGCACAGCCACAACACTTAGGGTAACTGGGCACATTATTTTTTTTAAATAATGTTCTCTTCAAGATCTTTCTACAGAAAGTGGGACTCAGAGGAACTGTGTCCTTTGAGGTTGTTTTGGAGGGATTTTTTTGTGGTGGTGGTTTTGAGGCAGTGGAGGGAGGAAGCTCTTTGCCTATTAAACTGATGCTGTGCTGTACTGCACCACCAAGGAAGTTCACAGAAAGAGTGAGAAGGCACTCAAAACCTGTGACATTTTGTCAGTTTGTATTTTAGGACAGTTTTTCTCACCAGGTGGTCTACAGATCCCTGACTTTAAGGAGCCTGCAAGTGTCAGCTAAGAAAAGCCAGCTAGCTGACTGTCTTTACCTTAATGGGATCTGCACCCCCATGGAAAGTCTTTGGGGACCCCGCAAACGTAAAAATGTTTGGGAAAAACTGCTCTGGATTATGTCCCTGAGAGTCTTGTTCAAGTTTTATTTTAAATAGCAGCTAGTTAGCTGTAGCACTACAGAGAGAACACTTATATGCAAATCAGTGTCAAGAGATGAAGGGACAAGCCCTCATTCACAAGAAGAGCACCTCAATGCCAAGTGCAGAACTCTCCTGACTTCCTGTCCATTCAGGCCAAATAAAGAGATTCCATCTGACCTGCTGTTACTACTGGGACAGAAAAATCCTCTGCTACATTATTTTCCATGTTATTTTGATTTCCTGCACACTTCTTTTTCAAATTCTGTTCTTTTTTCATGTCACCTAGAATGTGCTTGAAAATTTAGAAAAATTCTAGCTTGTTTGTTCACTTGCTGTTCTTGCCTTTCTTTCTCCACAGAATCTTATGGCAAGAGCCCTGTACGATAACGTCCCCGAATGTGCAGAAGAGTTGGCCTTCCGCAAAGGAGACATTTTGACGGTGATAGAACAGAACACCAAAGGTCTTGAAGGATGGTGGCTCTGCTCCTTACACGGCCGGCAAGGCATCGTCCCAGGCAACCGTGTGAAACTCCTGATAGGTCCAGTGGTACAGGACGGTCTGTCTGGCCAGGACATGCCCAGCTCAGGATTGATGAATCAATCTTTCAACCAGCAAAAGATCTACCAAGTGCCAAGCTCACACGCTGTAGCACGGGACCCTGTCTACCAAGTGCCACCTTCCCATCAGAATCAGGGAATTTACCAAATACCCACTGGTCATGGTCTAGTGGGACAAGATATTTACCAGGTGCCACCCTCCATGCAGAGGTGTGCTGATGGTCCAGCTCTGACTAACAAGGTGCGTGCATTTGCTTTTACTTCACAGCTCCAAAGCAGCTCTCTTGTGCTGCCCACCAGTGAAGTTGTTAATGCCTAGTGCCAGCCTGTCAACTGATTTAAAAAAAAAATATATATATATATGAAAGAATGATATGAAGTTATAGCAGTAACTTTAATTATTTGTAATTAAACTAATCAGCTTAATTTGCAAGTAGAGCATTTTGGAGCTGCTGCTAAAGGTGAGGGGGAGTATGTGTTCTCACATCCTCCCAGGCTGAGGCACATCTGGCCTATGGCACTCTTGCATTAGATGTTCAAAAGTGCTGCTGTAGCAAGATTAACTCTCCCACATATTAATGAACGGTTACATCATCTGCCCAAGTAATTTTTGTTTAATTAAAAATTATATACTGTGTTGCTGGAGAAGTCCCAGTGGGTCTGAACTATAAAGAGGAATACATGATTGACAAGAGCCATACTTGTAAGAGCGAGGGAATAAGAGGATGATCGTAATGAGGGATGTTTGAATACTGAACCTAAACCTTGTAAAAGTGCATTTACATTTACCTACAGCTAAATTTCTTGATTGAACGTGGGAGCTGCAAGAGCTCCATGATGCAGCCATTACTGCAGCAATTGACAGCTCCCAAGGCTCCAGTGAGCGGCACTGCATTAAGTGGGTCCCCCCTTATTCCTGCTGTCCTTCTTAGACTCTCCCCATCTCCTGCCACTCCCTCATTTTACCTTAATAAGATACTTGCCAGGTACCCTGGTACACACAATGCACAGTCACACTGGTGGAAAAAGATTAAGGAGATACCCAAGGAATGAAGGAGATTCTCCTGGTCTTCCAGACCCCTTATTGCAAAACCAACAAGAAGTTCTTCCATTCCCTCCATTCCCAGTTCAACAGCTTCAGCTATTAGCAGCATCCTTCTTACCTTTAGAGCTTAGGGCATAGCATTTATATCAAGGTTACATGAGCAGATGATGTCTCTTGTCAGGAAGTTCTTGTCTGGTTTAAACTTTGATCTCCTAATTTAGATTAGCAAGACAGTCAGTTTTCGGTTTCATGTTTTTCCCCCACCTCTCCCGCAACTCAGCCTTTTTCATATCAGGCCTTTGGAAGACATCTTCTAATGCTTTTATTTCCTTGTTATAATTTCATTTTCCCTGATAAGACTAAATGGATTTTTTTTCCTTCTGAGCAAGAGAAAAAGATCTGTGAAACTATTCCAAGTCAATTTATAAAGAGGTTTGCTTGCTCAGCTTTTCCACAATAATGCTTTCTAGGCTGTGCAGGAAGATAAAATGAGAAAATTGCACTTACTGCACAGGCAGAGATAGGAGCTTTGTTGGAGCAATTATGTGGGTTTTCTTGACAAGTCTCACATATTTTTTCTCCTCTTCTCCTTTCCCTATAGACTAAATATAGTGAAATGTTTTTCAGGGGCAGTATTGTTTACCTATCCACAGTAGCATTTAGATACCCTCTAAGATAGTCACTGAGCACCCGGTAAATACGCATTAATGGGACAGCAGAGAAGAGATCAGGTTTTAGTGTATGTCTGTAGGAAACATTTTACAGCACTGAATGTTTTACAACCTCAGCTATTCGTGGGCCACAGGAGCTTCACTGTACTGCAGAGCTGCACTGAGATCTGTTGAAAAACCCAAGCTTGGAATAGTTTTAGGAACTGACCTGCCTAAATGACTGTTAGGATAGTTTGCTTAGCATAATACGTATGTGTTTGTATACTGCACAGAAAGAATTTTCCATCTGCGTGTGAAATCTCTTCTCCCTCCTCCCGCCCCCTCCAGCTCCACTGAAACTAACAGGACATTCTGCATAAACCTGATTGCTGCTAGGACTGTGTTAAAACCCTCGAAACACTGAGAAACTGAAAGCTTTGTTTTAGTTTAAGTGCAAACTTCTTGTTGAGATGCAAAAATCAGAAGCAGTGAAGCACCTGTTTTCTCCAAGTTTCTGCCTAGAAATTTTTTCATCAACCTTGAATATGCATTTTTCTGAATTCAAGTCATCTTCTGTAGAAAATTAAGATTATTTGTCTGCCTTATAACTTGTTTTCATTTAATACTCTGCAACCTATGACAGGCCAGCTATGTTGCATAAAAAGAAATGGCTACGGTGCTAAGTGTAGAATAACTAAACACATGTATTTATAAAGCATTTTACCCTCATCAAAGTAGATATCAACCTGCTTAGCACTAGCTAATATTTACTACTTGCTTTTATCATGACTTCAATGTATTTAGCCTAAGAGCCCTTGGTCTCAGTATTCACTGTTTATTAGTGGCAGACAAACCTCACGGCAGTGTTCTGCTTTGATCAGAGATAGACATATCTCTAGTGCTTTGGAATTGCTTAGTTCTACACTAAATAGAACCCATTGGGATTGAAACCATGGTAGACAAGAGAGAACTACAGGGTTATTAGTGAGGGTGGATTCTGAGGTAAAACATACTCTGTTCTTTGTCATCCTAACCTTGCTAAACTGCTATTTAATGCTAAAGCTGCAACTCTCTGCTAATGGGTTTGTGAAAGAAAAGCCTAATTAAAGGGAAGCACTTTAGCACTTGTGTTCTTTGTCTGAGGAAACAGTCCGTCCTCCAACTCCTCCTCCTCTAGGGATCAGTAAAAACAATCCTTAATATTAAGGAAAGCTGGACATCTTGAAGATTTAATTTGGGGGATCATTGCTTTGTCTTCCAAAGATAATTAATCTCTTTTCTTGGACTTGTGACACCTGCTCCAAAGGCTTAAATGAACTACTTTGCCTTCTTCCATCAGTGGAATCAGCTGGTCAGCAAGCTGTGGGTTTTGGCAGTTTTAAGGACGTTGAGGAGTTTTGCTATGAGCACTTCCTATATGGAAGCCTTCTCCCTTCCCATAGCAGTAGCTAGAGAAGAAGACCATGTCCTTTAGACACCACTCCTAAGTGGGACCAGCAGCACTTTCTGTCCTGTCCATTTCTGCACACGTCTGCCTGTTTTCTTTGTGCAGATGTGTGGCTTGGCTGCCATACAGGTTTTACAGGCAAGGAACTGTTGTCAGGCAGGAATTGTCTAGCTTCAAGCAGCAGTAAATCAACAGTGGGCATGTTATTAAGCTGCGCTGAGGTAACACATCTTGTTAGCCAGAAAGGCAAAGTTAGTCAAAAAGGAGTCCTGAGGCAGGTAATTACAATGATGAATTGATTCTGACCAAGCTGGTTGTTGACAACAGAGCTATATTGGCTCCCTCTATCAAATAAAATAGCACCTTCTAAAACTCACCCTCCCAATGACAGAGATAATGAGGGACAGTTTAAAATTAGCCTTGGTTAGCCCCAAGCTTTTATAGATGTGTTGCAAGTTTAGTCACAAAACGGTTACACCCCTAAGTGTGGAGAGCGTCTGAGGAGCATAAAGATGTGAAAGCTGTGTCTTAGAATTTATTCCCTCCTTGTGTGCTCTGCCTTGAAACTTACTCTCTTTTGCTGCAGCCAGCAAAGAGAAGGAACCTTGAGATGTTCAGGAAACCTGGATTTTATCCTTGCTGCAGAATTCTGCGTGGGTTTGAGGGGTGTTTCTGCACCTCATCTGTGAAATATGTGGGTTAATTATGAGGGAACTCATTCTGTACAGATTACTTTAAGAACATCCTCTGGGAACGGTGCTGTCAAAGCACAAAGTCTTGCATCTGTGATTAATCATTAGTTCACACCTGAGCTTTAAACTGGGGAAAGCTACACATGAAAAAAAGTCACCAGAATCATTTAAACATTCTTTGTCTGGTTCAGTGTTTCCCCTGGCTGGTCTATTGTGCTCTCCCTGCCATCCTGAAAATAGTATTGGCCAAAAAATTTAAGGGAATTATTTTCTTGTTGGAAAACAGTTTTGCAAATTCTGAAAGCTTTCTATAGGAACCAGTAGCTCTCTGGAGAACTGCTGATCGAGAGAACTCTGCACAAAACAGAATGAGGCTTATGTACCACAGCTGTTTGACCAGGGAAGAGGCTGCACTGCAAGAGTTACCAGCCTTGAACAACAGCTCCCACGGGACACAGACTAACTCAGGCAAATAGAGATTAATGCCTTGGAACATACCAGCTTTTTTGTTTTTTGGTCTGTTTGAATTAGAACTCTGCAGTTCAGGAAACACTTAAGAGTTACCCACCTTCTAAAAGTGGATAGAGCAGAATAAGGGAGGAACTCATCTTCATCCCTGGCCTATTTCCAAGTATAAACATATCCTTGACAGATGAAGGGTTTCACACCCCGCCATCCTGCTAACTCCGCCTTTTTCAAGAGGTCACTGCCTTCAGCAGGAGGCTTGGGTAAACCATGGCTAAGGGAACAGACCTTTTTCCCTGGTCTTTATTATTATATTTTTTATTATTATATTATAGAGTCATGTTGGTTGACCGAACTAGAAAGTGGAAACGCCACACCACAAGCAGCACCACTCCGACAGTTCCAGCACAGGCTTCAGTAGCAGGAGCCAGTTAGCCCCATTATGACATTTTTCCTTCCAATTAAATAAGTACTGTCTTAGCTGGGAAGAAACAAATGGTTGTATGTAATATTTGTTCCAGAAATAAGCCTGCCTTTACATTATTATCTGTTTTTTTCTTGCCTATTTTCATATTTGTGAGGTAAGAAGAGACATACATTAAGCACAGTAAAGAGTTGTGTGGCAGATATATTTTATTATCAAAAAGAACCGGCGCATATGTAGTATTCTGCAGTTTGTCAGCAAAATGTATTTTCATTCAAAGTTAGAATAATGTCCCCATTTACCCTCAAGGCTGAAGTACCACAGTTTCCTGTGATAGGGTTTACATAAATTACCCAAACAGTGATCATATAGTCCTTTTTTTTTTCTGCTTTCACATTACAAATTCTATTTTGGGGATTTGTGCCCCTCGTAACAAAATACTGCTTCAGTGTAAGAAGTGCTGAACACACAGGAAGTTTGCTGAGTACAGCAGGAATGGTACCACATACCTCAACACT